TAGTTATTTTAATCCCATTTGTCATCATTGAGATAATTGTGTGTGGCTTCATCTCTTGTAGAGACATATAAGGATTCAGAGAGTTGACACATTACCTGAGCTGCAGCACTGCAACAAGTGTTAGAGCAATTACCAGCAATTTTCTGCTTGACCAGCATGTTTAAGCCAGCTGGTCAAATTAATAAGTCATCTTCAAGTACACTTCAACATGCAGGTGTCTGTGGAGGTATGAATGAATATCTTGAGTTGTTTGTTTAATGTACTCACAATTTATTATTGCATAATAGTTTACCTGTGTACTTATTTATTTATTTTAGGCTATACTATACATTTTTGCAACCAGTTATTGGTGTGATTATTTAGTTGTTAAATAAGGAACAAGGAAGGTTTTTTGTTACATACATAAAGTATGACGTATCGTGTGTAATAAAAGCAAATTACCCCTTAAAAACCGTAAGGAGGCGCTACTCTGTTAAAAAATGTAAGCTCCGCCCCTCACTTCCGGTTCTGTGGCTGCGGTTCTGAAACTGCTGGTGCTGCGGGTCTGCAGCTGGATACTGTTGTGCTTATGTGCATACTTATTAATTTTTTTGCATGTAAGGGATGCGTCTTAAATTTAGTCAACAGTTAAATGGATTAAGAAATGCATTTGGCAAATGTTTTCTTAAATTATAAGTTGCATTTAAAAATAATTTAGTAAAGTATTTTTTAAATGTTTCATTTAACAAACATGTTTAAATATACTACTAGATTTTCACCAAAGACACATTAATCAAAAGTGACAGTAAAAACATTTTTAATGTTTTCTGTTTCAAATAAAGCCTGTTCTTTCTATTTATATATAAAAAAAAGTATTATGGTTTCCACAAAAATATTATATATAATAAAAAATATATATTATATATAATAAAAATATAATAATATATATCCAGCACAACTGTTTTAAATTTTAATTATAATAACAAATATTTCTTGAGGACCAAATCAGCATATTACAATAATTTCTGAAGCATCATGTGACTTATCTAATCAGTTTGGATCTATATATTCTGTAATTATGCACAAAAAGGCTGTTTTCTCATGAGTCAACCTACTTCTGTCACTACCTCAAATCCAGCTCTGGCAGCAGCACACTTCAGACACACCAAGGTTTTCCTGAAAGTGAGCTAGGTGTTGATGATGATGATGCAGAGAACTCTCTCTCTCTCTCTCTCACACACACACACACATACACACACACACACACACAC